AGACTACTGATCTTTGAATCTCATTATACAGTTAAGATTATATTTTGTTTGGGCCTCAAGCTCAGTTCCAGATCAAATATTTAGGACATGTTAAAGAAAATTATTTTTTCAGAGATGGTTAGCAATGATGGTAGAGAATAATTTTTAGGTTTTAGAGTGCATCCTCCCTAAGGCATCTTGACATGAATTGTTGAAATGGTGAGAGCTGTGTCTTATCCCCTTCTGCCAAGTGTATTGCAGGATGGTTAGAGGAATAGGGGAAAACTGAAAAGGAGATGCCTGGAGTCCACTCTGTAGAAATAATGAATGACAAATATGTAACAGTATTGATAATCCAGTGGATTGAAAGCATTGGTAAAACATATGATTATTTTCTGAAAGATGGGAATACCATTAGACAAAGAAAGACTGTTTCAAAAACTAGTTTAAAGCTGTGAGTTCACTTTAGTTCAATGAATGTTTACTAAACTGACCACAGAGAAGTAATAGGAAGTTGGGAGTGCAGGCCTTAGGGAAAGTTGCTGATTGACCTTATGCTGAATAAGTTCTTCCCCAGCTGAAGAACAGTAATTCCTCTATTCTTTCGAAATATAAAGATTAGCTCTTGAATTTCAGGGCCAGAAAGAATAAATGGCCAAGCAATCAGTGACTATTTTATAATAATCCACTTGCCAATTTAGGGTTTCATAGAACTCCACAGAAGAAAGAAAATGACCTTTGTAGAACTTTGGGGGAGTAACTTTATTTTTTATTTTTAAAGAGCCATTTTTGTAGTTAACTTGGTTGATGTGTATTAAATGTACTTTTGTTATCTTAAACATCTACTCCAAGCTCATGGACTTTCCTTATATAGCTCACCTCTCCATAATCTGGCACGAGAATGCTTTTTAGTACTGAGTGTTTTCTTTTTCTGCTGGTCGCTCCTCACAGCAGTACTGGCCTTTCACCTGGTTTTGTATCTTATTTTAGAAGTGGCCTTGTTCTCAGATCTTATTTTAAATGTTGGTTAGTCCAAGCCTTGCTGCAAATGGCTTTCATGTCTGTGGAAGACAGAAAAGAAGAAGTCAGCATAAATTAAAATGAGAACGATTTCACATGGACCTAGGAACAAAATTGTTGTAAAAGACAGTAGAGATTAATGCCAAGCTGCCCCAGTCTCCCACTCAGTAAGAATTTGAAGACCAAAAAGGCTAAATGACTTGCTCAAGGTTATAAAATATTGATGAAGATTTATCATTCTCCTTATTTACATGAAGGCAATATACCCTAGTGAGCTGTAATTTTAACACATAAAACAAGCTATTCATAAGGAAGGTAAATATACCAAACTGTTTACCCTAGCTATCTTTGAGAAGCATTGGTGGTGCATTACAAAGTTTTCTTCCTAATTCTCCAGGTTTGTCAGTGTTCAGTTACGAACATCAGTATTTTCATATCATGATGAAGGCTGTCACATCTGGATTCAAATCTGGCCTCTACCACTTCCTGGGCTGCGTCTCTGTGACTTTGGGGAAAGCTTCTCAACCTCCCTGACCTTCCATGTCTTAGCCTGAAAAATAGAAGAAACAATACATTCTTTATTGAGTTAACTATAAAGGAGTTAACTTTGAGATTCTTCCAGCTAGTGCTTGGCCCACAAGGAGCACTTCTGATGGAGCGACCATCACTGTTACTACAGCTGCTGTCCCTGCTTTTATCATAGAACACTGGGCACTGGCGTAGGACGTCCATTCTCAAATGATTTAAGTATTCATCTGCTTAAAGACCAGATGCTGAATTAGGCGGTTTTCTTTAACATACCTTCCAGTTCATTTTATCTTTCTGTTAATTGAGAGAAAGCACCATGGCCATCAGTTTTTACTTACCCTATTAGAATAATACTTAACTCTTGGATATCTCAATCAGAGCCTAATCCTTATTATAATTAAAATAAAAATCTGTCACCCTCTTTATTATTTTATACTAGAGAGCTTATCCTGCATTGCTAGGAAAAATTATTAACCATTGTTAAATTAAAAATCCCTATTGCTCCTCATCTTTGAGCACTCTACATAGAATTGCCATGTGAGAAGCAGATGCCCTTGTGACTTGAATGTGTAATTCTTTTTAGAAACCACTGTTTTCTCTGTAACTGGTATCTTAATACGAATAATATGTCTCTTTTGAACAGCAATCTAAGATCACTGCCCATTTCTTGAAAGTCTCCCTCAGAGCCCCCAAAGTAAATTTCACCTATGCCCCCTAGTTTCTGTTTTTGCCCAGGAAAATCTCAATAAAAATATCCTTTGTTGTTAGTGAACATCTGTATACATAATCTTTTGTGATGCAGTCCCAGAAAAAAATTTCATTTCATTTATGTAGATACACTGTTGCCAACCTACCTAGAGATTGCATAGTCCCAGATTGGAAATTTATAATTTTTTAATTTATTGTTTGGGACAGACCTAGATTGTTTGACCTATTTTAGGTACTAAGTAACAGCCACAGTAAAATATCTGAGTATTTTTTTGTATATTATTTGTAATGTTACTGTTTGTGAGGATGCTGTACTTCTCCAGTTTACAACTGAGGAAGCCTGTCATCATCATTAGTACTCATTCATTCAGCATGAACACCTGTTTTATCTTAGGCACTGGAGATGTAAATATGAATAAAACATGATTCCTGCTCTGGAAAATTTCATAGTTTATTGGGGGAGAAGGATACATATATAATTGCATTTCAAAGTGATATGTACTATACAATGAATATATGAACAAAATGTCATAATCATGTAAAGGAGGGAACAGTAAATTTGGGGGTGTATGGTAAGGTTACAAAGAGAAAGTGGCATTTGAGCCAAGTCTTGAAGGATAGATGGGGATTTGCTGTTTGGAGAAAGAGGAGCCAGGAATGGTCATTAGAGTCAGGGAACAGCCTAGCAAAGGCCTAAAGGCTTGCCCTGGCAAGCTATGTGAGGGGAGTGTCTTCAGCATAGCTAGAGAAAAGGCTTTATGAAGGAGAGTGAGTTAAAGTTAGGAGTTTGAATTTTATCATTTGAGCAGTAGGAAAGCATTGAAAATTTTTGAATTATGGCTGATGTAATCAGCCTTGAGTTTGAAAGCTCATAATAGTTTAGGGTGGAGAAAGAAAGACAAGTGGCAGACACCAGGTAAAAAGTTGTAATTCTGCAACCAAGACACAAAAGTTTACACTAAGACTGTTTGTGTGTAGATTTAAAAAAAAAGAAAAAAAGGAGGGGGTGTGTCTCTAGATTTGAGAGCATTTTCGTAGGTGTAAACAATATGATTTTGTGATGGATATGATACGGGAAGTGTGGGCAGGGGGAGTTCCAGTTTGGGTGATGGGCTAGAGTAACTGAAATTAATAGAACTGAGGAAAGTGAAAAAGGAAGGGAAGGATTGTTCCTTGTTCTGTTTTTCATCTGTTTTGGGAGCAGGCAAGGGTTTTCATTTTGCATAAGATAGGGTCAGTGTTTTCAGGAACATTCTAGCAGACACGTCTGGATCTGAATCTCAGCAGAGAGGTTACCATAGTAATACTTTTGAGTTCTTACTGTTTATTTTTCCATTAAAAACTAAGGTTCTCAGAGGTTAACTGATTATGGTCTCACGAAGGTGGCTGTAGAACCAAAACATAAATTCCTAAGCTTCTTACCAACTAGGCCTTAACTAAAATAGCCCTTTGGGGGGAAAAAAAAATCTCTTGATTTCCATTATAATTGTTTTACTGTTTCATTTCCCAGATCATCTTTACTTAAAAATACAACAAAACAAAGCCCAACTGGTATATATATCCACAATCTCATTTTCTGATCTTAATGTTTTTTGACTAATGCCAGTCAAATGAAGAGTGCTCGGGATAATAGCTGAGGAGCCCCAAACCTCTTGTTTGGTTCTAACAAAACCTTAAAATTCAAAGGTTAGATAGTTCTCAGGAAATACTCATTATTTCACATATGTTTGATCTAATCCCAGTTGTTGCTCTGATTCCAAATGAGGGAAATGAGAAGTTTTGAAGAATGAAGGTATAGTGTCCACTTTTCTGCAGGAATTGAAAAGTAAAAATTTCCCCCACTATTGGGATTATTGAGCTATGAGCTATTCTCTTGAACACCAGAGAAAAAAGTAGACAGTTCTTCAAAATCCATCCTTACCCCCAAGTTTCAGGGGTCACAGCGTTCATTGAAACACTTGGGTGTTTGTGAAGGACTTGAGTAGACTTCAAAACAAGGCATTGTACACATCTGACACCCTTTTTTCACATATTTTAAAAAATAATTAGCATCCTTTATCCATGTGAAATTCTAGTTTTAACTGTTACTGTATAGATTCTCTGTGAAGCTGGTTGGGCTGTGGTGTTTTTTCCAATACTTTGTTCTTGATGCTGTGAAATGTGGTTGCCTGTGTTTAAGACAGAGGCAATAGAGTGCACCCAGAAGTGGCTATAATTCTATATTTAGTAAGCCATAGGGTTTGCAAAGCATTTGCAGATTCCTTCGGGATAAAATGGTTTCTATAAATATAACATTTTTAATGAAACTATTATTATCATCCATTAGAGAAATGTAGCAGTTAAATGTGCGGGTTTGTGGACAAGAGGCACAAAACTTTTTTTTCTTTTTTTTTTTTTTATTTTGAGATTTTATCTTTATTTGAGAGAGAGAATGAGCCAGCCAGGCGCCCACAAAACTTTTTTTTCTTAAGAGTACACTGAGTATTTTATGGGCGCCTGGGTGGCTCAGTTGGTTAAGCGACTGCCTTCGGCTCAGGTCATGATCCTGGAGTCCCGGGATCGAGTCCCGCATCGGGCTCCCTGCTCGGCGGGGAGTCTGCTTCTCCCTCTGACCCTCCTTTCTCTCATGCTCTCTGTCTCTCATTCTCTCTCTCAAATAAAGATAAAATCTTAAAATAAAAAAAAAAAAGAGTACACTGAGTATTTTAAATACTTAAAAGTAATCATGTGAATCCCATTTTTATACTTTTAATCTTGAATTGCAGAGCTTTTACTCAAGTGTTTACCTTTGGTCCAACATTCCGAGCAGAGAATTCTCAGAGCCGGAGACACCTGGCAGAGTTTTATATGGTAGAAGCAGAGATTTCTTTTGTTGAGAGTCTTCAAGATCTCATGCAGGTAGGTACACAAGTTTTAAAACAGTTTCTAAATAACAGATATCTGTGACATTTAATGCTTCTGTATACATTTTCACCTTGGACATCTGTGCATTATAGGTGTTAATGGAGTGAAGAAGATGGGGAACTACTTAATTTGATAAACATCTACTAAATCCCTTTAAAGTACAAGAGTCAGATTTAAGTTCATATCCCAGCTCTGCCATTAATTTTGTTTTGATGTTACCAAACCTTGGTGATCTTTAGCCTCCTCAACTATAAAATGAGAATAATAGTAACTATTTCATAGGGAGTAAATGCAATAATGGATGTATAATGTAAAGCATCTAGTATTGGGCTTAGCATATAGCAAGCTCAATAAATAATACCTCTTGTTATTTGTTAGGCAAATAAATAAAACATCTTTATATTTAGAGAAACATCTACATAGCTGTATTGGAAAGCATCTATGGGAGCCATCAGAGCTCTGTTTTGGGGACGAGATAAGTCCAGAAAAATAGTCAAGAGTTAGATCTTGAAAGAAAGACTTTGTAAATGCTATGCTAAGTAGTTCAGAAGGTAAAAGAGTTCTCAGTTGGGAAAGGCCATGGTCAATTATAGTTTAGAAACCTCTCTCTAGTGATAATATTAAGAATGATTCAGAGGGGGATAAAAATGAGGGTGGGAGTCCTTTTAGGAGGCTGTGGCCATAATCCAGTTAGAGCACATAAGCTCTGAAGTTGGATGGACCAGGAATTGATTTTCAGCTCCACTACTTGCTTTGTGATCTTAGACAAGGGACTTAATTTTCTGAGCCTCAGTTTCCTCACCTGTAAAATGAGAATAATAGTTCCTACTTTATAGGGTAGTTCAGAGGATTACACAGATTATATATATAAGGCACATAGAATAGTTCATGGCACTTTGTACCCAGAAATTATTGACTGTTATTATGAATTCTCTACCTAGTACCATTAATATCTTAGTTTGGATTTGTAATCACAGAATGTTTAACAATTTTCGTCACCTCTCAACTTATATTCATTTTGTATCTTTCTACTCTTATCCAGTAAATGACCCAATTCCACTTAAAACATAAATACCACATATATTGTCAAATAGAATGGACTTACTTTTTTTATTATCCTGTCTTGGTTGGATTTCCTAGTAAACAAACTAAAGCAGAGATTTGGGGGGTGGGCAGTTATTGGGGAATGCTCTAGAGAACAACCATCTGTAAGGAAAGGAAGAAAGCAGCATTGGGCAGAGGGAAAAGTTGAACTACAGTGCATGTATAGAGGCCTTAGCTAAATCTTTGAGGAACTTTGGAGCAGGAATGGTCCTTCATAGTTGTCCCATAGAAAGGCAAGGGGGTGCTGTACCTTTGTTCTTCCCGCATCAAGCAGTTACCTGACATGGGCTAGCCTTGGGAAGAGGCATACTCTTGGGTAAGGTAGCACTCCTGGCCTGGCCAGTCAGTTCCTGAAGAGGAACTCAACTAGGAGCCATCAGTAATTAATATTCCCAGTGGATAAAGCTCTTGGTCCTAAAGGGGTGTTTTGACCACACACAGTATCCATTTATATACCACTTTAACATCTCCCACTGATTGTTGTGGACCATTGTTCCCCGGGGGACATTTTTGGTTGTCTCTAGGAAGTGGATGGAGGAGAGGGGAGAGTAGTTGCTACTGGCATCCAGTGGGTAAAGGCTAGGGATGCTGTTCAACATGCTAACATGCCCAGGTCCCTCCCCCTCAACAAAGAGTTATCTGGCCAAAAATGACAATAGTAACACTGTCAAGTATTTCTTTTCTAAAATGTAGGGATTCAGGGAGCGCCTGGGTGGCTCAGTCTTTAAGCATCTGCCTTTGGCTCAGGTCATGGTCCTGGGGTCCTGGGATTGAGCCCCGCATCGGGCTCCCGGCTCAGCGGGAGGCCTGCTTCTCCCTCTCCAACTCCCCCTGCTTGTGTTCCCTCTCTCGCTGTCTCTCTCTCTATCAAATAAATAAATAAATCTTTAAAAAATAAATAAAATGTAGGGATTCAGGATCTGAGCCTCACAAGGAGTCAGTAAGATTCCTTAAGCAGCTTTTGCTTCCAGCCCACCACCCAATTCAGTATTACTCTCTCACTTAGGCAATGAGAGTATTGTAAGCCACAGAACCACACCCTTTATCTCCCTGTTTCTGCCTTGACCCTATCTCTCCTGCCCCTCCCCCTGTAAATAGCAGAGAAAAGTTCCAAAGACATAAATTATGTTAGAAATTATTAAACATTATAATTATATATTCTGTACCTAATAATTTTTATTTAGTATTCCACTGAGTATTACTCAGCATACACTGTTCAATGATGTTTAATTAATTGAAATACAAACTTTTTCTTAAAGACAGAAAAAAAGTGTGCTCCCTCCACAAGTAATTTTCTACTTCTCTTAATTTTCTCCCTTTTATAAATTACATTCTGTGGAAATTATTAGCTTGATGAAAATATTAAATCAGAATACTGTAACAAAGGATTTTCCCCTCATAAGGTATAAACAAATATTACTATTTTAGTGCCATTGAGTAATGTATTTTTAAAAACATCTGAAGGTTATGCTAACCCTTCAGTTAAGTTTCTGTTTTCTTCAAATATATTTATAGAGCATAGTCTGAAAGTCAAGGTTAGAGAAGCCAATGATTTTCTTCTTCAAATGGAAATTTACTGCTCATATGAAAGACACCAGCTTAACATCCCCAGTGGTCAACGTCTTCATCTTACAGATAGGTGTGTTGTGCACCTCAACAGTTCATACTTAGTATCCAGTCTGTTTTTGTTTGCTCCTCACATGTGTCAGCTTTTTTTAGTGATTGAGGTATATGACCCTTCATAAATCATTCAGTTACTTAGTGATTTCTTTATCTCACTACTCCCAGATCAAAGGTAATATAGCCTCAAGGTAAAAGATCTTTAGCCTCCTTTTGCTCTTCTTTCATCAGGCTATTCCTTACTCTTATACAAAATATATATGTAAATATAAAAATACAAAATATATAAAAAATGGGGCACCTGGGTGGCTCAGTCATTGAGCATCTGCCTTCAGCTCAGGTCATGATCCCAGGGTCCTGGGATCGAGCCCCGCATCGGGCTCCTCGCTCGGCAGGAAGCCTGCTTCTCCCTCTCCCACACCCCAGCTCGTGTTCCTGCTCTCGCTAACTCTCTCTCTCAAATAAGTAAATAAAATCTTTAAATATATATATATATACATAAAATATATATACATACACACACACACACACATATGCATATATATAAATGTATCTGGTTGTTTCTTGGTAATTAAGTACGTTCCTGTATCTGATCATACTGAGCTAGTGCAGGAGATGCTTGTGCCCCACCCTGTGTCTCCAGCCTTGAGAGGGTGTACCAGGGTTGCAGGAGAAGGAGGGAAGATCCCTGCCTCTGGGGTAGCCTGTACTTACTGAGTGTCTCTGAGTCCAACGTTGGGAAGGCCTAATAGGATCTCACTGACTTCAAGCATTTTAGTTTTGATTAGAAATATTTTCCATTCCAGTCAGTTTTTTTCTTCTAACAAGTTTTTTTCTGTGGGATGTGTAATGATACCCCTGGTAGAATGCATTCTTACGTACTGATTTGTGTTGTATCAGGATTTGTGTTATTTTCACTGTATGCTTTAGCAAAGCAAAAATATACATATTTAGATGTAGATCTATCTCATTGCTCCTCTAATTTTAAAGTCAGCTTTCATTTACCAGTGACTGAATGAAGCACTTTTCAAAGTGTCTCATTCTTCACAACAACTAATGTTAGTTGTGTCCTTCTCTGAGCCAGGTACTAAAGCTAAGTCTTATACATGGATTATCTCATTTAATTATCACAATAATCCTGAAAGCTAGGTACTGTTATTGTCCTGATTCTACAAGTGAGTATATTGCACTTTAGAGAGGCATCAGTCAGTTTTGGCTGTTCATTTGACATCCCACTTCAATACTAGTATTGAAACTGTTAACGAAAGATTCATACATTTTTCTTTCCTTTTTTTACCCACTCTGGGAAGAAATTGCACTGCCTCCCATAATCAATCTGGAAAACTGAACTAACTTGCTGCAGTATATTCGGGGATTAAGAGGTCTAACGGATTTATAGCTGCTAAAACCTGGAGAGCAGTCCTTACAGGACCCTAAATAGGTTTTTCATATAAAGGAGCTTACTTGTCAGACAATTCTCTGTCATTTCTCTTAGGTTATGGAGGGACTCTTCAAGACTGCAACAATGACGGTTCTCTCAAACTGTCCTGAAGATGTTGAACTCTGTCACAAGTTCATAGCTCCTGGCCAAAAGGTAATTAGTTTTGTGGATGAAGTACAATACATCTACTCTTTAAATATGTTAATTACATATAATAAATATAATTACATTTAATAAATTTTTTTTCTCTTTTCTTACCAAGGACAGATTAGAACATATGCTAAAAAACAACTTTTTAATGTAAGTAGATACTACACTTTCTCTGAACTTTATTCATATTTTATCATAGTATTTATCACAGTCTTAAATTTTTTTTTTTTATATATCTGTTTATCACAAGGAAGGCCCATGTTTTAAATATTTTTGTAGCTCTTATATCTGGTTCATAGTTGATAATCAGTGTTTCATGAATAAATACATGAATAAATCATAGCAAGATAAATGAACACAGTAATTATTAACTGAATTAATGCAATTCAGACTAATATTAACTTTAGTAATAAAAATTTGGCTCAATTAAAAAACTTTTATTTTGGAGCACCTGGGTGGTTCAGTCAGTTAAGCGTCTGACTCTTGGTTTTGGCTTAGGTCATGATCTCAGGGTTGTGAGATCAAGTCCTGCCTCGGGCTCTAAGCTCAGTGCAGAATCTGCTTGTCCCTCTCCTTCCCTCTCTGCCCCTCCCCCACTCACACTGGCTTGCTCACTCGCTCTCAGATAAATAAATAAAATCTTTTTAAAAAACTTAAGTCCTGTATATTAACATATATTAGTTTCAGGTGTGCAGTGTAGTGATTCAACAATGCTATTATGTTATTCAATGCTTATCAAGATAAGTGTACTCTTAATCCCCTTCACCTATTTCACCCATTTCCCCACCCACCTCCCCTCTGGTAACCATCTGTCTGTTCTCTGTAGTTAAGAGTCTGGTTTGGTTTTGTTTGCTTGTCTATTTTTTTCTTTGTTTTATTTTTTGAATTCTACATATAAGTGAAATCGTGCAATGTTTGTCTTTCTCTGACTTATTTCACTAGATTCATCCATGTTGTTGCAAATGGCAAGATTTCATTCTTTTTTATGGCTGAGTAATATTCCATTGTGTATCTGTACCACATCTTCACCTATTCATCTATCAGTGGACACTTGGACTGCTTCCATAGTTTGGCTATTGTAAATAATGCTACAATAAACATAGGGGTGCATGTATTTTTTCAAATGAGTGTTTTTGTGTTTTGAGGTAAATACCCAGTAGTGGAATTACTGGATCATATGGTAGTTCTATTTTTAATTTTTTGAGGAACCTCCATCCTGTTTTCCACAGTGGCTGCACCAGTTTGCATTCCCACCAACAGTGCACAAGTGTTCCTTTTTCTCCACATCCTTGCCAACACTTGTTGTTTCTTATGTACTTGATTTTAGCCATTCTAACAGGTGTGAGATGATATCTCATTGTGGTTTTGATTTGCATTTCCCTGATTAGTGATGTTGAGCATCTTTTCATGTGTCTGTTGGGCATCTGGATACCTTTGGAAAAATGTCTGTTCATGTCTTCTGCCTATTTTTAATTGGATTATTTGTTTTTTGGGTGTTGAGTTGTATCAGTTCTTTATATATTATAGATACTAACCCTTCATCAGATATGTCATTTGCAAATATCTTCTCCCATTCAGTAGGTTATCTTTTAGTTTTGTTGATTGTTTCCTTGGCTTTCTGTGCAGAAGCTTTTTATTTTGGTGTTGTCCCAATAGTCTTATTTTTGTTTTTGTTTCCCTTGTCTCAGGAGACATACCTAAAAATGTGTTGCTGTGGCTGATGTGAAAGAAATTACTGCCTGTGTTCTCGTCTAGGATTTTCATGGTTTTAGGTCTCACATTTCGGTTCTTAATCCATTCTGAATTTATTTTTATGTATGGTGTAACAATGTGATCCAGTTCCATTCTTCTGCATGTAGCTGTCTAGTGTTCCCAACACCATTTGTTGAAGATATTGTCTTTTTCCCAATGGATATTCTTTACTGCTTTGTCGAAGATTAACTGACCATACTACTGAGTGTTTATTTCTGGGCTCTCTGTTCTGTTCCATTGATCTATGTGTCTATTTTTGTGCCAGTAGTATACATTTTGATTACTACAGCTTTGTAGTATATCTTGAAATCTAGGATTATGATACCTCCAGTTTTGTTCCTCTTTTTCAATATTGCTTTGGCTCTTTGGGATCTTTTGTGGGATTGTTTGTTCTAGTTCTATGAAAAATGCTATTGGTACTTTAATAGGGATTACGTTAAATCTGTAGATTGCTTTGGGTAGTATGAACATTTTAACAGTATTTGTTTTTCCAATCCATGAGCATGGAATATGTTTTCATTTGTTTGTGTTATCTAAAAAACAAACTTCTAAAATACATGCATGTAATGTCTGCCTGTCAGTTTTTCTCTGTTTCAGTTTTCTTTTTATTTACTTTCAATCGCTCAAATCTGATAATATATTCTACACTGTTTTTTAGCCACTTTTTTAAACCTAAAGATCTGCGTTTTAAGTATAACACATATGTTGTTCCTTCATTTCCATTACAATCCTCTACAAATAGTACTGGATATTGGACTGGTTATTTATTCCACTAAGCATACTAATCAGATAGTCTGTTCCATTTTACAGTTTACTATAAAACAAATACATACTTAATATGGAAAAAGAACAATAAGCAATCTCTTCATAAATAGTGCAAACATTTTATATAAGACTTAGTATTCATTGTATTTACAGTGTATATAGGAGGTAAGTTTGATACTCGGAAGAAGAGAAAATTGTTTCTGAACATGATTTGATATCATTCTTCATTTACTGTCATTAGGTTTAGAAAGTTTTTGTTCTAAGAGAATAAAGAATTCAACCATCCTGGAGGAGGGTAATAAGAAAAACTTGGCAGACTTGACTGAACTGAGAATTTCAGGTATCAGTGTAGGCCTTCAGGCTACAAGTTAAAAGTGATGAGTCCTGGAGCCTGAATGAATAGCAAGGCAACAGAGAATGAGATCAGAAAAAGAGGAAATAGGAGCCCCATGATAGAGAATCGAAAGGCAGTGAAGTACAAATGAAGGCTTTTGAGGTTTTTTTTCTTCACTGTAGTGTATATTAAGTATGTTAACTAACTGGAATTTAAATAAAAACTTGAAAAAATAAAAGAAAGTGTATATTGAATATTCACGATGTGCCGAGCTTGTTCTAGAATCTGAACAAACTGTCTTAAAGCAGTGAACATAGAAGACAAAATTCCCTGCCTTCATTGAGCTTACATTTCGGGGGGTGGTAATAAGAAAAAAGAAACAAGAATAATAAGTAAAACCTATAGTCTGTGAGAATGAGTTATACTAAGGGGGAAGAAACCCAGAGAAGAGAAAGAAGATAAGACAAAAGAGTGAGGAGGTAGAAGTTTTAGATAATATGACAGAGAAGATATCACTGAGATGACTTTTCAGTAAAGACTTAAAGTGAGAGAACTAGCTGTATGGATATGTGGGAAAAGAATATTCTAGGCAGAGGGAATAGCAACTACAAAGGTCTCGAGGTTGGAGCATGCCTGGTGTGTTCAAGTAATAGGAGTGGATAAGGGAAAAGGATAATAGAAGATAAAGAAAGGAGGTGAGAGGTGGAAAAATCATGTAGGGCCTTGTAGGTCACTGTGAAGAGTTTGGGTTTTTGCTTGAGTGATGTGGGGAAGCCATTGAAGGGTTCTATACAGAGGACTGATAAGATCTGAATGGATTTAATAGGATCACTCTGGCAGGCTTTAGAGTAAGAGCAGAAAACCAACCAGGAGATTATTACAGTCATCTGGGTGAGAATAAATGATGGTTTGGACCATGTATTAGATTTATACAGAGAAACAAAACCAACGTGATGTATATAAAGAGAAAGATTTATTTTTAAGGAATCATCTCACACAATGTGGAGGCTTGTTGAGTTCAAAATTTGATGGAGTAGTTCAGTAGGCTAGAGACTGAGGGAAGAGTTGGCAGCTGGAGTCTGAAGGCATTTTGCTGGCAGAATTCCCTCTTTCTTGGGAGAGGCCAGTTTTTGTCCTCTTAAGGCCTTCAACTCATTAGATGTGGCCCACTCACATTATGGAGGGTAACGTGCTTTACTCATCATCCACTGATTTAAATGTTAATCTCATCCAGAAACACCTTCACAGAAACATCCTGAATGTTTGACCAAATATCTGGGTACCATAGCCCAGCCAAATTGACACATAAAATTAACCATCATAGGCCAGGATGGTGGCAGTAGAGGTACAGAGAAGTTGTTCTATTCTAGATATATTTTAAAGATAGAACAAACAGGATTTGCTGAGAATGGGAAAGAGGGAGAAGTCAGGTGTAACTTCAAGTCTTTTGTCTTATACAGCTGTAATGGCCATTAACTGAAATTGGGAAAGCCATTAGAGTAGCAAGAGGTTGGGGGGGGGAAAGGGGTGGTATCACCACATGATACATCATGTATCATGTTAAGATTGAGATGCTTTTCAGACATCCAGTTGTAGATGTTGGGTAGGCAGTTTCAGATGAGTTCTGGACATTGCATATTGATAAAAGTAGTAAGTAAGCAGGGAAGGAAAAATTAATTTGGACATCCTAAGGAATCTGTGCTGGTGACAGAAAACCAGGGAGAACATCTTAAGAGACGTTATCCACATCCTATCTAGTGAATAAGATCTAAGATGGGAAAAAAATATCCACCATTTATTGAATATTTTCTATTTGCCAGACATCAGTGATAAACCTTACATACATAAATGTAAAAAAGTTCATTGTATCTTCACAACTCTGTGAGTTGTTTTATTGCTCTTTTGTGGATGAAGAATCAACTCAAAGAGATTAAGCAAGTATAAGATGAAATGGAAATTCAAACCCACTTATCTGATTTCAAAGCTCATGCTTTCAACCACTAGGCTTCGAAAGGGCACTGGAATTAATGCTAGGGTAGTTGTATCTTTTCACTGTCCTTATGACCCTCACATATCACTTGTGCTTTGGAGTTCAGGTCTATAAAATATTGAGGTTGTTAAATGACCTCATGGGCTGTGCCACATCGGTCATTGCCAGCATCACTGTCCATTCCACAGCGTAAATCATAGCTGTGGTTTAAACGTATACCTGTGATGATTTGTTTAGTGTTTGTCACCTCCATGTGGTCAGGGACTTGTTGATTTTGTTTACTGTTACACCCCCAGTGCTTAGTGCCTCTAACAGGAACTCAGTAAATATTTATTGAATAACTGAATGAATGAGTAAATGACATTTGAGTAGCCCCGGGGTGAGAGTATTCTCCTTTAGGCTAGGTCCTCTCCCTGAGATTTCCTGTTAACTCCTGTCACTCTGTACTTTGGGCACTGAGTGTAGTGATCTATGACGCACAGGACCTGGATTCTAATTCTGGCTATACTTCTTATCAGCTCTTAATGAATGTGTTAATACTTTTCAACAAATATTTATTGACTATCTACTATGAGTTAGGCACTGTGCTAGTCATTGATGATCCAGGTCCTTTTATGGAATTTAAAATCTAGAGAAAAAGATGAATAGTTAACTGTTTGCATGATTATTTAATTACAACTATGATTAATAGTAAATCTTTAACCTTTCTGAACTTGAGTTTCCTCACCTATAAAGTTATAACTTGTCTGTCATATCGTTGAAAGGATCAATTGGGCAACTGCTTAAGCAATGTGCCAGACTACATAACTTAACAATCCTGCTATAAAACATCTAAAAATGCTTGTTAAAAATTATAAAAATCCTTTTAATTACATTGTTGAGTTCACTAGAAAGTAAGAGAAGTTCCAGGAGCTACAAATGAAGAGGGAACTGAGCACCTGGGGAGTGGGGGGAATACATAAATGGCATGACACTGAGGTTTCTCAACGTGGAGGGTATGGTAGATGGCGGGGGCGGAGTTGGGGGGAGGGAGTTGCCAGTCTTTGAAACCAGAGATTTTAACAGCCGTAAGAGGACATGAAAATAGACTTAAGCATGATGAATTAGAATCGAGATACTCCCCAAGTACACATATGCATACATATGCACACACATGCACTCACACACGGAAGATAACCATGTGACTTGTATTCCTTTGCATAAATAGATTTCATTGTATTCTTGACTACTTATAATTGTTATATATGAAAATAAATTATTTAAAGGACTTATATAATAATTGAATTTAGCCTTTACCAAGCAGAAATAGAATTCAGTTTTTTTATGTCTCCTTTATAGCATTAGGTTTTTAAAATAAAGAGTACTTACCTTCTTTTGCTCTTCATTTATCTGTGAATTTGAGTCAAAGAATGCTAATAATTTTAGCTTAGCAGTTCTAACCTAACAGCTTCAGAATAATTTTCTTAAACCATAAAAAAATTTAAATATGAAGGTAGTTTGATCCTGCATCATGCAGTATCACTATGTCTCTTCCTCCTTTGCTCAAAGTACTTTAGAAATAGCTTCTGGGAGGAAGAGAGATTATTCTCTGTACATATCAAAAAAAATTAGGAGAGAGAGGTGATAAAGGCCATTAAGGATACCCAGTGTCAGAACTGTAATCTGAGCTGAAAAGCTCTGCCTCAGCTTAAGGTGTGGGAGGGGTAGAGCAGAAGATCCAGAATAACAGGAGATACACAGAAAGTCATTTTTAAAAATAATGTAGCGGTAACGTATCAATGGCACAAAATCCCTATGCTTCCCACTTTGACTGCTCTTATATTTCTCAGTATAATGAATAGATCATATCAAGTAATTGATGTAATAGAACAATAGACTAAGCAGAAAAGAACTTTAGATAGTATAGTCCAATCTCCCTATTTTATAAGTACAAATACTTAATTTTTCTAATGGTTGTATAAAACATTACAAAAATTTATAAAATGCTTTCATTAAGGTGAAGTGATTTACATAGTAGCTAGTAAGGGGTAGAGTCAGAGGGAGAACTCAGAGCCCATTGTCTTTGTTTTGGTTGAGCATATTAAACTCCCAGGTGTTTTAGGCATAATCTTAGTAGTTAATAGCTTAGGCTTTGGAGTCAGCACATCAGTTTTACTACTTACTTACATGAGTGATTTTGGGCAAATTACTGTCCCCTCTAACCTTCCTTTTCCCTTCTATAAAATGTGTTTAAAAATGACTACCACCACCAACACCACTTTCATTCTTGCCTTAGAAATTGTTATTTAATACTAATATTTTAATTTGAATAAAATTTTCATCTTGGAAAAATATCACTCAAAACATAGCTTTGGAGGCTTTATTTGTGCCATATACACAACTCCTTCCAATTAGTTATTATAGGTATGAATTTAATTTTTACGGCAAAGAGTAAGTATGTGTTGGGTAACTTATCTTTTGAGTTTAAAGTCCTTTAGAAAGTTTGTAGATTTTTGGTTTTTGTTTGTTTTGTTTTGGGGGAGCTTGGGGGGCGTTGGATGTTTTATTGTAGATTTTTGTTTTTAATCATGCAAAGTACTGTTGCAGGGGCACCTGGGTGACTCAGTCGGTTAAGCATCTGCCTTCCCAGGGTCCTGGGATGGAGCCCTGCGTTGGGCTCCCTGCTCAGCAGGGAGTCTGCTTCTCCCTCTCTCTCTCTGCCCCTCCCCCTACTCATGTTCTCTCTCTCTCTAATAAATAAAATCCTAAGGAAAAAAAAAATGTTCAAAGTACTGTTGCAAAGTGCATAGGGAAACTGACATTTTCGTATACTACCAGTGGGCATAAATTGGTGTAACACTATAAAAGGGAAGCAGTATCTTTGGCACTATCAAAATATCTGTAAATGTGAATACACTGTGATCCATTAAATCCATTTTTTCCATATGCAAAATTAATATATAAGAATCATTTGTGATAGATGTATGTAGTCATGATTTATGATAGCAAAATATTAGAAACAGCTAAAATATCCATCAGTAGATGAGTGGGTAAACTAATTAGGATACAGCCACAAAATGGAATGTTATATAATAGTTCAAAAAATGAAGAAGCCCTTTCTTTATATACTGATATGGAAAGATCTGCAAGGTATATTATTGAGTCAAAAAAGATGGAAGAGTGTATATGGCATGTATACTCTGGCTGCCATCTATTAAACAAAGGAGATTGTATATTAATATTTGTTTATAGATGTAAAAAACCCTCTGGAAGGATACACAAAAATCCAATGACAGTAACTGTATGTGAGGAGAGGAGCTACGTGGCTATGGGACAGGGTGGAAGGGAGATGTACACTCTTATACGTCTTGATTTTTTTTTTTTTTTTTTTTTTACTATGTTCATGTATTACCTATTCAGTTTAATTAAAACAATGCTTGGCTTGGCTTGGCTTGGCTTGCTTTAGACATGAAAGTTTCTTACTAAGGTAACCAATGACATTTTTCCTAAACAGTCTTACCCTGCTTAGCATATGTTATAAGCCCTGACCGTGGCCTGAAAAATCCATAAGATCTGACCCCTGACTATCTTTCTTATCTAATTTGCTGGCATTCTTCCCCTTGCTCAGTATGCTAGAGGCACATTGACTTTTTTGTTCCTGGAATGAGCCAAACTGTTCCTTCACTTCAGGCCTTTGTACTTACTGTTCCTTTTGCCTAGAATACTTAACCCTCAGATATTTATATGGTTCATTTCCTCACTTCAGATGTCCCCAGCTAAGTGAGTCCTTTCTTGACCATCTTATCTAAAATAGCACCCCTAAACACCCTCTGTCTTCTTACCTTGCTTTATTTTTCTTATAGCACCAATGGTTTCCCGCATTATATTCTTTCTGTTTACTTGTTTTTCTCCCCACCCCCCACTTACTCCCATCACTTACACACACAAATATCACCTCCATATAGGCTTTGTTTTTATTTACTGTCTCTCCAGTGCCTAGAATAATGCCTACCACATAATAGGTGCACAATAAATATGTATTGAATGAAGGAATGATGACTTTATGGAAAGACTTTTGCTCTTTCAGCCTAAGTATTTCACACCTTTTATTAGGGCATTGGCATAACATGAATTCAGAGAAAATCTTTACTTGACTGGTTCTTCTGTATACACTGCAAGTAGATCAGGAATGGGATTACTGAATGGCCACTTCTCTTCATACTGATCAGACGCTCATATGATTAGATCAGCCTTAATTCCTGATTGCTCAGTGATGATTTATTTATAATCATTCCTGACTACTCAGTCATTAGTATTCATTTGTGATCTCAAAGATTGTATGGGAATAGGCCTTTTGTAGTTTTTCAGATGGACTAATTAGCAATATACCATTGTATTGACCGTTCTCTGCTTTTACCCTGTTCCTTTCCAGCATTTCTTATACGGAAGCAATAGAGATCTTAAAGCAGGCATCTCAGAACTTCACCTTCACCCCAGAGGTAGTATTTATATTTATATTTTTATTTTTATATTTTAACCCCTCTTGTCCTTATCACATTGCATTAAGAATCCTGGGGCACCTAGCTGGCTCATTCAGTAGACCATGGAACTCTTGATCTCAGGGTTGTGAGTTCAGGCCCCAAGTTGGGTGTAGAGCTTACTTTAAAAAAAAAAGAATCCTTTAAAATGATCTTATTTCTCTGGGCACCTGGCTGACTCAGTTGGTTAAGCCTCTGACTCTTGGTTTTGGCTCAGGTCATGATCTCAGCGTCCTGAGATCAAGCCTGGCATTGGGCTCTGTGCTCAGTGCAGAGTCTGCTTGTCCCTCTCCCTCTGCTCCTCCTCCCATGCTCTCGCTCTCTCTCTAGAATAAATAAAATCTTTAAAAATAAGTAAAATAAGTAAATAAATAATTTTAGTTCTCTTATTAGCACTGTTTAGTACTTGCCCATCTTTAGATTGGCTTTTTTTGATGTTTGCTTAGCCTTGTTAAAATATTTAGAATAAATAACAACTTTGAAGTTGAATCATATCATTTTTAATAGTAGTGGCTAAAGGATTATAAAGAAGTTTCCCAAGTTTAGGAAGATGAAAATCCTTGAAAAGAATGGTAATATGTCGAGAGAGGCCACATGATTTATCAGTGGGCATGTGCATAATATTAGAGGCAAGTCTCCTCATTCCTATGCCAGGGTTTCTTTCCTATAATTAAGATATTGGCAGACAAGTAGGAATAATATAATGTTAGGAATGTACTGTAATAACTTTGTCTTCAAACCATATACCAGTCCTATCCCCAGTTAAGTCAGATCCTCCTATGAGGTATAATAGTTGTGCTTGTTATATTTATAATTAGTTATTTTGTTTATGTTATCTTTTATTTAATATTTGTCTCCTACCCTGGAAGCTTCATGAAGTCAGGAATTCTGTTTTTCTTACCACTGTGTTCAGTACCTAGCATGGTACCGAGATTGAATAGGCACATTAGTATTTGTTGCATAAATAGATGAACAGTGTTATTAAGTATTCATCAGAGCATCTGATATATGAATTGACTCTTTTATTAAAAAAAAATTTCACTGAGAGAAGACATCTAGTCAGAGATAGATTCAATATTAGGAATATTATCTTTCATCATTTAATTTCCTGCAACCTAGGAACAATAACCATAGAAGAAGCTCTAGGCAATGTTAATAAAAACTATGATTTTGAAGTCAGTTTTCACACACTGTTGTAAGGGTACTTTGTTTTCCTGCAGATGCTATTCATCTGCTAAATGCTGCTCCCCAAGATCGGGGAGAAAGCATAGTGTTAATCTGCTTGTTTCAGCTTTCATTTTCCAGGCCTTCAGATGTTCTTGTAACACACCTCCCTGGCTTAGTTATCTGTGTAGCCTCAGCAGACAGCTCCACACATCACTGTACCTCAGAGGAAGCCCTTGGAATGGATACAGGTTATTTTTGGGTACTGCATTGTGTATTTCAGGTCTGTCTTCTCCTTTGATAATTTCTTTTTTCTCATTACAGTGGGGTGTTGATCTACATACCGAACATGAAAAGTACCTGGTGAAGCACTGTGGCAACATACCAGTCTTTGTCATTAATTATCCATTAGCACTCAAGCCTTTCTACATGAGAGATAATGAAGATGGCCCTCAGCACACAGTAAGAAAAAGCACTAAATAAATCGGGGCTGGTCATCTCACAGAGTCTGGGTTTTTCCCTTGATTTAATTTCATTTATCCTTTGGCATATTTTTAAAAAATTATATCCAGCACACTTTACATCTCTTAAAATGATAAAATTTCTCAAAGGCACCTCTGAAAAAGTGTTCCTAAAGAAGATCCCAATGTTCTATAAGCGTACTTGTTATTTCTATCGCATGGTGTCCTCCTTCGTTTAGCAGATGCAAATGTAAATGTGTTTGTTTTCTTCTGTTTTTTTAAATAACTGGGAGGAAGTGTCCCAGAACACTGTTTAGCATTGCCAGGTCTACTGTCAGCTGAAATACTGGTAAGGAGACGGGCGGGGGGAGGCGGGGTGCGGGGAGGGGCGCTGCTGGGCAAGAAAGGAAAGCAGTGGCATGATCAAGCAGAGGAAGAGCTAGCTCGCAGAGCAGGAAGCTCAGAGTACTTTGGTTTGGTTGTCACACAGAAATGGGGAGGAGAGGGGATGGAGGGATCTGAGAGGTCTAGGCAGATTCTCCTGTCACTTCTCTTCTGACTCTCTTGTCTCTGTCTCTGTCTCTCTCTGCTCTCTTTTGCCTGTCATGCTCTGTCCTTTTTTCACCCTTAATTTTGATTGCAATGTGATAAGGACAAGAGGGGATAAAATATAAAAATAAAAATATAAAATATAAATACTACCTCTGGGGTGAAGGTGAAGTGGCACCCAGTTACCTTGAATCTTCCTTTTCTGGATTTCTATAGAATTTAAAGAATTAGTAAAACTGGTAGCATTGTGTCTATTTTTTATACTCTGTAGGTTTTGCTTTCTCAAATGAAACTCTTAACTTCTTCAGGATGGGTATGAGTTTTTTATAGCCACCATGGCTTCTGCTGCTCATTCCTCATTCCCTCTAATGTGACTTCCACCCCGTCATCATACCACTGAAGCACCTCTTTCTAGGGTCAGTAATAATTGTCGTGTTATTAAATCCAGCAGACTTATTTTTACTTCACCTCTCAGCATCACTCAGCACTATGAATGAGTTTCTTATTCTGAAAACTCTCTCCTCCCCTGGCTCCTGTGACATCGTGTTCTCCTCTGTTCTCAGGGGTTATTCTTTCTCAGTCCTATATAGGTTCATCCTCTTCTACTAATCCAGTAGGTGTTGGGATTCCTCAAGACTCCGTCGTAGGTCTTTTCTCTCTCGGGTGATTTCATGTGTATTCACAGCTTACTATTTATTTTCAGACAACTCAAGACAGTCACATCTCTAATCCTTACTTCTGCTCAGAGCTCTTATTGCAGTTTATATATCTCAAAGGCATCTCAGCATAATCTAAAATTGAACCCACCCATGATTTCTACTCTTTTCTCCTCCTTCCACCAAATTTGATCTTCTTTCAGTGTTCCCTGTCCATCTAATTATGCAAGCCATATATTAGACTCATCTTTGAAATCTTCATCACTCCCTGTATCCAAGCTGTTAGTAAGTTGTCATTTTTATGCTTTTACATCTCAAACCCATCTCCTTCTCTTCATTTCCGCTTTTACCTTTTTAGATTAAGATACCATCATCTCTTGGGGCACCTGGGTGGCTCAGTCATTAAGCGTCTGCCTTCGGCTCAGGTCATGATCCCAGGGTCCTGGGATCAAGCCCCGCATCAGGCTCCCTGCTCTGTGGGAAGCCTGCTTCTCCCTTTCCCACTCCCCCTGCTTGTGTCTCTCTCTCGCTATCTCTCTGTCTGTCAAATAAATAAATAAAATCTTAAAAAAAAAGATACCATCATCTCTTGCCTGGATTATTTTGGTAGCTTCCTGACTGGTCGTCCTGTGTCTGCTCTTGCCTCCTCTGAGTCAGTTCTCCCCACTTCATTGTAAGCTTTTTGAAAATGTAGATCTGGTCATGTTATCTCGCCTCTCAAAACCATTCAGTGGCTTCCCATGCTTTCAGTATTCAAGTCAGAATCTCTTCTCTGGCCTCTAGGCCCCAGTGTCATCTGGCTGCCTGTCTCTCTTGCCTGATGTACTGCACTGCTCTCCTTTGCTGTCTCTGCTCCACTCATATCGCCCTTCCATGTCTTCAGACATGCACTGCTTTCTCTCACCACAGTATCTTTAGACATTGTGTTCCTTCAGTCTAGAACAATCTTCTTCACCTAAGTAATTTTACTGTTTCTCCAAATCTCTACTCACTCATCATTTCCCTGGAGAAACCTTCTGTGACCCTCTAGTCAGAGACCCCTGTTAGATAGTAAAATGCTACCATGTTAAATTTCAGACCCAGAGCTACTAACTTGTAATTCATCATAATCCTTAACACAGTTGTAATTTTACATTTATTTTTATGACTGTTTAATTAATGACTCTCCTCTTTGCCACAGAACTTGAGGACTTCCTTTTCACTCATCATGGTATCCATAGTGCCTAGCATAATGCCTGGAACACAGCAGGCACCTAATATCTATTTGGTGATAGGGGATTGAACAGATGGATGAATCGAACCCAACACAGCTGTAGACACACAGAGGACAAGTAGTGAGTGAATGACTTGATTTGCTAAGAAATTTCTGGGAAGCTAAAGAACAGCTTTTACTCTAAATTTTTTGAGTGGTGGTAACATAGTATAAAGGAAAGTCCTGTGGCTTTAGAATCAGACACTCTTGGGTTCAAGTCCCAGGTCTGTGTGTTATAGACCATGTGATCTTAAATAAACCACCTAATTTCTTTGAGTCTTAGTATCCCAATCCATAAAAATAAAGATGATAATCTTATTCCACAGTTGTGAGGATTAAATTAGACAATATATGAAAAATATATAGCACAGTGTTTGGAATGATAGGTAGTCAATAAACTTAAAGCCCTCTTTCTAAATTTTGATAAAATCTTTATTGTGATAAAGCACGATAATGTTAAAATATGTGTGTGTTTTGCAACATCAAACATGCTATTACGCAAGATTCTTTAAAAGGCAGTTCCCTTGTAGACTGCAGTCACAAACATTTTTTACCTTTAGAAGTACCAGGAGGCCTTCATCATGACAGACTTTCTAGTAATATGGTCTCACAGCTTGAAAACTGAAAGCATTATAATGATACTTTAGTGTACTTATATAATTTATACAGTACTACAATATATAGCTTCTCATAGCTAAATTATTAAAATACAATTTATTGGGGTGCCTGGGTGGCTCAGTTGCTTAAGCATCTGCCTTCAGCTCAGGTCATGATCCCAGGGTCCTGGGATCGAGCCCCACGTCGGACTCCCTGCTCAGCAGGGAGCCTGCTTCTCCCTTGTTCTCTGCCTGCTGCTCCCCCTGCTTGTGCTCTCTCTCTCTCTCGCTCAAATAAATAAAATCTTTAAATATATATATAATTTATTTAAACTATATATATTAGACGTAGATTATAACATTGATTCATTAACAACCTAGATTGCTTTTCAACCCACTTGTATAGAGTGCCTGCTTCTACCCCTACTTTCTTTCAGTGGTGAATGAACAGGCTTTGGGCCAAATAACTAAGTTCTCGGTTTTGTTCAGAAGGACTGTAATAACAGGTTGTGGGTAGGGTTACAAGAGTTTCTACAGTGGGTGCAATGCAATCTGAAAAATTAAGACATATATTTCATAGATGCCTTCCCTAGGGCATCAAAAGGGAAGGGTAGAGAAATGTTTAACCTACACTTGTAACATTTGGCTGGAGGTCATAAATAGTAAATTGGTATATTTTTATAGCTACTGCTCCTTTTCCTTTCTTTCTGCACCCCCTGATACCCTCCAAAAAAAAAAAAAAATGAAGGTACGTACTATTTTGTAATGAAAAGTATACTCTAGTCTAAGGAGTTAATAGTGCCAGGTTTGAAATCCATCTTTCTTACTAGTTAGCCATCAAGTCTCTCCAATCACTGAGCCTCTGTTTCTCCCTCTGTAAAATCAGAGAGTTGGGTTAGATGACCTCAAGAGTACCAAACAGCTTTAAGATTCTCTAATTTCAAGTAGCCTAAGTTTTTCCCCATTTGGACATATAAGAATAACTTGTAAATTAGCAAACATATTTGATAATTTTAAGGGGGCAGATCATGGGCATAAAGAAAATTAATATAAGCAAACATGCAAAATACTGTATGCCCCTGGGTCTAGGTTCCTAAGTAAGTCCCTCAAAGTCAGATGCCAAGTTTTTAGCTAGGCTTTGCAGAGAATATCCATTCATTCCAACCATTGTGATAGGGAAAAGTGACTGCCCAACAGACCCTGATGAGATACCCAGATCACCAGATAACGTTCTATTTTTTTAAATTGTATCAATATTATATAGCAAATTATAAAAATTTAAGCATTAGTGGGCATGCAGTAAGTACACATTGTCAAGTCAACTTGGAAGAAATAGTACTCAACCAAGGGATATCTAATGAATTTCCCTGGCTGGTGCTAGTTAACCAACCTGCATCAAACCAACAGAGAATAGTAATGAAGGGAATGGCTAATTTTTCCCATACCTAGGACAAATGACTATCCTGGGAATTTATGTCAAAGTTGAAAGTACGCATTTCAGCCCATCTAAAATGCTCTCAGACTAACCATTTACTAGCCAAAGTCCATTTTTAGACATTGCTACCTGCAGCCCATTTGAATCTTCACACTGTCCCGTCTGGAAGGCTCTCAATCCTGCCTGTGCCTCATTGATTTTAGGGGCAAAATACTGTGTCAGCAGTGAGAGCAAAAGCTCACAGAGGCTGAAACCACAAACATGTTTCCTATGGTTTGTGGAACATTCTTCTTCTCTTGATAATAATATGTAATGTTGCTCCGTTGTTGACAGCAGCCTGTGAGAAACTGAATAGGGAGGTGTTCAGTTTGTGATTTTCATTAATACTTAAAAATACTGAGGTAGGGGGGCGCCTGGGTGGCTCAGTTGGTTAAGCGACTGCCTTCGGCTCAGGTCATGATCCTGGAATCCCTGGATCGAGTCCCGCATCGGGCTCCCTGCTCAGCAGGGGTC